AAGAAAGTATTTATTTCTTTTACCATATTACATATGAAAGCTCGAATTGTCATTCTATTTCGATTCAATTGTTATTTCCATTTTTCTATTCAAAAATATATTTGTTACTATTAAATAAAGATTATTCGTTGAATTCAAACTATATATGTATCGTAAAATCGATTCGTCATTCTATTTCGATTCAATTGTTATTTCTATTTTTCTATTCAAAAATATATTCGTTACTGTTAAATAAAGATTATTCGTTGAATTCAAGCTATATATGTATCGTAAAATCGATTCGTCATTCTATTTCGATTCAATTGTTATTTCTATTTTTCTATTCAAAAATATATTCGTTACTGTTAAATAAAGATTATTCGTTGAATTCAAGCTATATATGTATCGTAAAATCGATTCGTCATTCTATTTCGATTCAATTGTTNTAGTCAATATTTAAATTCTTGTTACTCCGAACATATTTTCGTTCAAACTTTTTCGTAACAAATATTGCCACATCTTGATCTTACATGTTTTTTTATTGATAATAATTTATGCATATTCATCGTGTTAAAAATATAAAAGTCATTCAATCCGGGATCAATTTAAAAATAGCGTTTCTTTAATCTCAATACAATGCTTCGTTCACCAGTTATCATTGTGTAAAGACATGGATAATTTTTTTACGTTTGGCTGTTTCTTTTTCGTTCACACTTTCTTGCATTCTGTCACACTTGTCGTTTACCTACCCTATCGCAACCTTAGTTACGGTAGGTCAGTTTCTACCATTTACTACACATTTCCAGGAATTCCTTTATGAATGGGCGCCCTCCCTAATCGATATATGTATGTACTACTCTGATCAAAAAGTAAGGTGAATTTGTTTATAAAATGTAAATTCTTTATTTATTCTTCCAAATCAATTTCATCCCCTTCAAAGTAATCCCCGTCCGATAAAACGCACTGTTTCCGACGCTTTTTCCAGTCCTCGAAACAGTCGGAATAGTCTTTTCCCGGTATAGCCTTCAAGATTCGGTTTTTATCTCCTCAGTCGTGTCAAAACGGCGTCCCCGCATCGGCTTTTTGAGTTTGCTGAATAACCAGAAGTCGCACGGAGCCAAATCAGGCGAATACGGTGGTTGCGGAACGATATGAGTCGAGTTTTTGGCAAAAAAGTCGCGAAGAACCAATGCAGTATGACATGGCACCAATCGAGACTTGACGCGTTTGAGACACAAAACATCCTTCAAAATGGTTTGGACTGAGCCAAATGATATTCCAACACTTTCAGCGAGGTCTCTCATTGTCAGTCGACGATTTTCAAGCACCAAATCTTCGATTTTTTTGGACGTGGCCCTCGTCGGTAGACGTTGATGGTCGTCCAGAGCGCGGTTCGTCTTCAACGCGTTCTCGGCCCGCTTTGAACTCGTTGTACCACTTATAAACGTTTTTTTGTGCCATAGTTTGATCACCAAAGGCCTTCCGCAACATTTTCAACGTGTCCGCACAAGAATATTCGTTCCGCAAACAAAATTTGATGCAAGTTCTTTGCTCAACAAAATCACCCATTGTAAAAATCGAAAAATTCACTTTTGGTCGTTTACTAAAACACGTGTAACTCGGAGATAATTAAACCTTTTAACAAACAGACGCTTGGCAATTGTTATAGACAGTCCTACCAACCTAGGAAAAAAACAATTGCCTGCCTTCCTAATGTCCGGGAGTTTTAAATGACAATTTCACCTTACTTTTTGATCACAGTAGTATGTACGCGGGCTTCAAACGCTTATATGTATCCCGAGAATGGACCGAGGTATCAAAATGGAATAAAATTCATTGGAAAGAGCATTCACTACCTACTGTACACACCAACCGTGATATTTTCTTCGTTCTAACAGGTGTGAAGTAGTTTAGGCCAGGTAAATTCTTTAAGTCAATGATACATGATGTCTACATCTGAATTAGAACGTAAGTGGATGTTTATATTTGATGATTCAAGACACGATTCAGCTATTATTAAATATTGTTTTATGTCTCTTAAATCATGTGTCTTAACTTTTCCGCATTTTTACTTGTCATGAGATATTATTGACTATGACTTTATAATTAGTCGATTTAACAAAAATTTCTATCACTATTTATTCTTAAGTTACGAGATTACGAGTGGAGACTTAGAATCTACACTGAAGGCCTTGACGTAGTCGATAATGATTTCGACTATTTTCTCCACTTTGAGCAGCTAAATTTGACGTGAATATGAAGCGATAAGACACCAATATCCGATGCAAACTCTACTATGAGTCAAAATGACCCCGCATTCGTCTCTCGCGGTCATGGGATCGTATCCATGTGTAGACACGTGAGAACAAAATGACGAAACTATTCGATTAGTTTAAAATCCGTGACAAAAAGTTTGAGGGAGTTAAATAACAGAAATGTGATTGTTTGAAACCGAGGTTGAACGACGGAATGCCCTAAAATGGCGATTAATCTCCTTTTCTGTAGCGATGATTCCGTTCAAATATCGGGAATCGTGGACGTCTTTGTGACGACGCCCACCCCGGTACGACCGAAAAGGCACGATAACCCCGCTGCGAAAGAAACTCGCGGAACTCTTCGTGAACGAATTCAATTTCACGAAATACAAAGTGCTCGAGATCAACGGTGCTCGAATCGCAAGAACGGTGAATGCCCGGCGAAACTTTCTCGAATCGGCTTGTAAAAGGGTCGACGGGATTAACTCGCCCGAGTTTTGTCTGTCTTCGCAACCGGAGCCGAAAACAACGATAAAGGCTGCACGGTTATTATTAAATTCCATTGAAGGAAATTTTGTCGGCGCGACCGCGGCCGCTACGGGTCTCAACTTCCATTCTGACTGTATCGGTGAAGCGCCCGGAATTCGCCAGTGCCACAGAGACCGCCACGGTTTCCTCTGATAAATTTCCAATGAATGAGACACCTAGTTTGAGAGCACGCTTTCCACCGATAGCACGGTTTTAAAAGGATCCTCTGCAGGAAACCTTCTCGCAGAGAGTCATTTCCTCTTTCAGTTTCGTTCTGAGCTCGGAGCTTCGTTTCGAGCCGGTTGCCAAATGAGGTACCATCCATATTGCCGTTAACCCTTTCACCATGGATTAAGTATTTTTTATTTTAATCTTCTTACTCCTATTAATTAGTCCCAGAAGTTCTCGGCGATGCGATTTCGTAAAAAACGAAAGAAACGAGAAACGAATCGAAACGAAAAATCTCATACTTTAAACTCTGCCCCGATTCCTTTGACTGTTTACATCAAATAAGGTAGTCAATCTATTGATAAACGAACGAGAAAAAATAGGGGAGACCGGGATCTCAAGTAATAGCGGACGAGAAAGTAACACACACAGTGTATAAGTAGTATAAAATCTAATACAATTATCACTGCCAATTTTTGATATATTATGCAAAGTTACTATTCCAGCATATACATTGTTATTTTAAAAATATGGATATGCAATTAACGTGCATACTAACCAAAATGACTTTTCGATAGCCTAAAGTAACTTCCTCTTCAAATCGTGATTAATTATTTCATGTGCACGTACTGGCTTGATTTTTTTCAGGCAAACCTTTAACTTCATCATTTTTAATTAATCATCAGTTAATGCTCTGAAGTACTAGTCAGTGAAAATTTGTAATTCTAGCCCGCGATCATGG